CAATATTTTATTTTGTACAAGTCTTTAAATACAGATTGCAATCCACACATCATGTCATCAGTTGCCATATTTTAAAAAAATACATAATTTTAATTGACTCCCTGAAATGCTTTTTAATTTTTTATCCTTCGCCATGAATTAGTTTTATATTGTTTCATTATAGGTGTTTTTTGAAGCCATTTGTCTTCAATCTAAGGGGAAAAGGTAAGCAGAATGAAATTTTGAAAATGTCTTTTACATTATCCTTTCTGACCTCGAAATTTGATGTGCAAGAGAGTCAGAGCTTAAGATAAAGTGTTGCTATGTTCTTTAAAATGAGGGATTAAGTATCACTATTGCATTCCACTTTGTTGCCTTGAGTTTAGCTGAAGGTCATTTCTGTTTTTTGAGATTAAAATCTGAGAAAACCAACCACTGGTGTTAGAAAGAGAAGATGTGATCATTTTAACCTCTGGAAGAGAAGAATGGCAACACTAATCTCTTTATCGGCATCTTTGCTTTGCCACAGGGTAAATACAAGTACTGTTTCTTATGCTCCTAATACAGAGCCATCTTCTACCACGACCGCTTGGATTCAACATGTAGAGTTATGTAGTGACATGTAAATGACAGTGTTCAGTATAGTTTTGAAAATCAAATGATCTATATGATGTTTTAGTCTAGCAATATGAAGAAGGGAAAATCTAGTCTGTAGACTTCCTTGGCATATATAACCACCTTTCTACCCTAGGATGCATTCTAATAGTGTGATTATTTCTTGGTAATTTCAATTCTTCATCATTTTCTTGATATACTAACCAGATGTTAACCAAATTGCAAATGTGGAACTGCTGTTATATGTACTGTTCCTTCTTTCCCAGTGCTTTCCCTAAGCATCATATTAATACAATGCATCAACATGGCATTGACCAACCCTAACCTAATTAGTCCTACATTATTCTCTATCTCAGTAACATGTTTATTTTCTATCTTGATCTCTGCGTGCTTATTTTCTTCAGACAACTTTATAATCTCAACTACTATAATCTCTCAATTGTGAGTCACATCAGGAGGACTCCGGCACATGTCAGAATGACATAAAATCACAAATGAGGAGAAGAAAGGGAGGAATGCAAAGACTCAATATATATCCTACAAAATTAAGAAAAGCAAAAAAAGGGGTGCACTGGAAGGGTGAGAATGTTGAAAGGGGTGACATTGATTATATTGATAGACTGCTTTGTTGAATGGCAGCTTCTTTTTACACTATTTAAGGATAATTCTAAAACACCAAAAAATCCAAAGGAATTTCAAAAACAAGATTTTTAGATTCCTATATATTTTAAATAGCTCCATTGATGATGAAAAGCTCTCAATCAACCTTATATTACTGTCATATTGTATTACATATTATGTCATATTGTATATATATATTAATTCAATATTATATATTGAACTGTGTGACCTGTGGAGTGTTTCACTGATTTTCATATTGTGAATATACCCCTCAAATGCATGTTGCATTGAAAGAAAGGCAAAGGTTCATGTGTTCATCTGATTAAAAATGAAAATTTTGGAATCATGTAAAGACACTATATCTTTAGAAGAAGTGGAGTATTGTTATAAGCATAATAAATCAAGCATCTACAATATAGTACTGAACTTTCTATGCTTCCTGAGTATTTGTGGTTTTTCCAGAATGGAAGATTCTTTGGGTTGACATCCATCTGAATACCAAGAGTCTATTGTATCTAAGACTGGGACACAGTGAACAAGAGCCTGCTATGATCACAGATACATAGAGGTGTGAAAAGTTAGTCTGATATCTGAATTATGGATGGAAAGTTTAGGATTTCATGATATTGTAAACTACTATGTTCCCCTGTCCACCATCTTGAGTACATCTTGGATCTTGAGACTTCTTGCTTCCAGAGAACATCCAAGAAGGACATACAGACTTCAGAAAATCTGTATGTATATATCTTCTAAATTTGAGAAGAAGTAAACCTTAATTTCAACTTGCTTTATTTGCTTAAAACCTTGCTCTGAAGAATCCATTGGTATAAGTTTATGATGCCAAAGGACACTAATACAAATAATTGGATTTTGATATAGAATCTCTCGCTTAATGGTAGAGGAACCTTCAAAACCTTTTTAGTGCTTTCCATTTGCAAAATGAAGACAGTAGAAAAGAACCAGCAGCTCTAAAATCATAAATTGTGCCCTTTGATTTGCTGTGATGCCCTGGGATGTCTTTATTAGACATGTTCTTTATTCCTTCCTCTTTGTTCACCTGCCCCAAACCTTTCTGGTTAAATTTGGTACCCTTGTTGAGCTACTATAACTGATGTGACTACGTCAAGTGTGGTAGATAGGCAATCATGAGTCTATGTTATCTCTACCATCATTTCTTGCACCAAAATGTTATGAGGATATGAATTGTACCATAGAACACAACCAAATTCCTTTAATTACAGTGCTTCAGTTACTGCTGACTTAAGTTTTCTAACATATTATTTTTTTTCTATCTAATCACCAGGCAAAATGGTGGTTGTCACTGTAAATTCAAAGATGAATTCAGAACTGGTTGTTTCCTCTAAGGAACTCCAACCATTGAGGAGACAAATGCAGCATAGGGTGATAAAAGCTTTACTAGGACCAAAGCAGTGGTCCAATGTAAGGCATTTCAAAGGGTACCAAATCAGCTTGGAATGATCTGAAAATTTCTCCCAGGTGGTGACCAAACACAAGCCTAATGCTAATTAATTGAATTATAGATTGCTAGCTTTTCACAGTATCAGAATCATCTAATCCCAACTCCTGATGTGGCACAGCAGGAAAACTGATTTCCAAAGAGGTTAGCTGACAAAAACCACAATGAGTACTTTGCTAGAGAAAAACAAATTAGAAGCCCTTATTTCATCATTGCAAGGAAAAAGTTAATCAAATAGTCATTCTAAGATATTAGTCATAATAAGGGAGAGAGAAAATGCATATATATATATATATATATATATATATATGGAGAGAGAGAGAGACTCCATTCACATCTATGATGTCAATAGTCCATCATTCCCAGGATAATAGGTCACTTGATTTCATGCAATTTAAATCTGCTGCTTCCTATGCTGTTTCATGGTGCTATTCAGAAGGTTTGGATAGGTACAATTTGGATACAAACAAAAATAAACTTTAAGACTAAATTCTGTCTACTTAACAACTCCTCTTAACAACTGATTGAGGCCCTTAAGGGTTAAGATTTAACAACAACAGAAAAAAAACCCTAAGGTAAAATATTTTTATTATGATGATAAGTAGAATAAAAGGTTACTCAGGTTGGCAACCGTCTTGGGAGATTTTGCCCCTAACAGAGTTATTTTGCTTGGGATGTTTAATGACTGTAATTTAGTAATGGACCAATATAAGAGCTCATCACATTAAAATAAAAATACTAGGGAAATCTATAGTTTCTAATAGCTTGCCATCTGTTTGTCTCTTCCCAGTAATGGATTTATCCTGCTTAGCACAGATGATGATATTGAAGGTAAAAATCATGGATTATACGATGGATTTCCCATGCTCTTTAACTACTGTTATTAATTTGCTAGCCTGTAAATCAACATAGTCCAATATAAAATCAATCATTCTTATTTTTTTTTAAATTTATCAACTCTTATCCCGCATAGGATTGCTATGGGTACCACGTGACATTTCTTCTTGCCTCAAGACTGAGTTAAAGTCACCCACCGAGGATCTCTCCAAATTAAAAAAAAACCTCAGACTGGGTGTCCTGGCTTTTTCCGTGAACTCGCAGCGGGATGTTCTTCTGCTTTCCCCCGGCTGTCCAATTTAATCTGCTAGAAAGAAAAATTTCAGAGGGACTCCCACTAAATCATTTTCCTCTGAACCCATCATTTCTAAATGGCCGCCCAGGGTCCTAAATGCGGCCACAGCGGACAGGGACTAGCGGTGTCCACTCCGCAGAGCCCTGGGACTTGGGCGCCTTCCTAACTGGCCATGGGAAGCCAGGAAGGAAACTCAAAGCACACAGACACAGGTACAACCCCGCCGGGGCGCAGCGGAAAAAGCCCTGGCCATCTCAGCTTGTTAACACCCTTCTCTGGACTTGGGGAGGTCCTGGGGAGGGATGCAACACCGTTTCCCGTTCAAGTTCAAGGGCAGGACGCACGGGGGTGGGGGGTGGTCATAGGTCAGAAGTTACATTTTAACACCCCGGCCCCCCTCTCCGCCGAGGGCTTTGTCCCAGGGAGGCGCCTTCTGCACCCCTGGCCCTGCGGTTGGCCAGGGCGGCGGGAGCGGAGTTACACCAGCTCGGGAGCGGCAGGCAGGCGGGGAATGCACCGCGACCACCCATGGCAACTCGGGGTGCTGAGCCCTGGGCGAGCGGAGCCCGGGCTCCGGAGCTGCAGCGCCCTACCCAGCCGAGGGCAGCTCCGCGCCGCGCCGCCCCCGGGGAGCGCCCTTCCCGTCCCCCCCCTCCCCGCTCCCCATGGGCAGCCTCCTCGGCACCGGCGTCTGCACCGACCCCTCGCCATCGGGTGCTGAGACAAAACTTCCTTCCTCCTGGGTCCCCCGGGGCGGGCAGTTGGCAGGCAGCTCCGTGGCCGGTGTTTTCGGGGCGCAGGGGGAGGGTGGTCTCTGCCCCTCTGCCACCGCGGAGCCCGGGGTGCCTAGCCATCTCCGCGCGTCCGCTCCAACAAAGCCGGCGACCCGGCGATGGGGCTGGGGAGTGGCGGCCGGGGATCGCCGGAGCCCAGCGAAGGCACGGGCTCCAGGGCGAGGGCAGCGGGAAGGGGACGGCGGGGACCGGGCGGGCAGAGAAAGGGGAAGAAAGTATCCAGCTCCCGGCGCAAACGCCTCCTTGGTTCGTCCTCGATCGCCTAGGTCCTCGCTCTGCCCGGAGCGTCCTGTTGTCCCGGTGGGACTTGGCTGGGGACACGGGGGGGGGGGATAGGGGGACAGTGGGGACGCAATGGCCCGAGGGCGAGCCGCTTCCTTACCTCTGTCCAGAGTAAGCGGCTGGACCACTGTCAATGTCGCCATGTCTGCCGTGGGAGCCGAAGTGACGCTCGGCTTCAGCATCAGCAACCGCTGGTAGTGAGAAAAAGAGGAGGAGATTGGGGGGGGCGGGGGTGGAGAGGGAAGACGGAGGGAAGGGGGAGGAGAAGGGAAGGCAGGAAGGTGGTGGTGGTGGAGGAGAAGAAAGCTTGGGGTGGGTTGCTAGCCAGATGGAGACGCAACTGTTCCGCGGTGGCAGATCTTCAGAGGCGGCGCGAAACCAAGCAGGTATTGGAGAGCAAGGACTGCATCGCCAGGCTCTGGCAGGGATGGCTCTGCCCTGGAACTTTGCTCTCCCGCCCTTGCCCCCCCCAGCAGCGCCGGCTGGGTGCAGCTGGCTGGCTGCTTTCTTTCAACTTTCCTCTCAAATAAAAAGGATCCGAAGATAGTGTCTGGAGAAAGGCGATGGGGAGAGAGATGAGGAAGTAGAAGAGGAGGGGAGAGGATGGTTTTTGTTTGTTTGTTTGTTTTTTGTTTTCTTTTCCCTTCAGGTGAGGAGAAATTGTCAACCCATGAATCTCATCTTCTCTAGAGAGATCACCCCCTTCTAGCGCTGGCGCTTCGTTGTAGTTGCTGTTAATTTCTGTTAAAGTTTTCCCCCCACCCCCCCACTCCCGCCCCACACTTTGGAATGTTGACTTAATATCTGATAACTGACCACAGCACAGGGTTCTATCAGCGAGTGGCCATTTACGGGTACTGTATTTAGGAACAATGCCTAGATCACAATTTGGCTTTTCAAGCAAAGTGCTTAAAAATTGTTTCAAAAATAAAACAGAGGAAGGCTAGTTTCTATCCGCTCTGATGGAAACATTTATCCAGCCTTTTTCTGTTGTTGGTCTCAAAGTAGCATTTATTCACAAAGTGATTTATTGATTAGCGTGGGCTGGGAATTGAGCCGGGAGAGTTACCTACTATGAACCATGTCCTAAACTTGGGGATCAAATACCGTCCCTGTGTTTTGTAGTTTAGTATGGAGATGTTCTTTGATTTCATTTGATCAGAATTCCATTACTAAATGCTTCAATTACTAGATGTGTTGATTTCCCTCCCCCCCCAAAAAAAAGACTCATTTTACTATTTTAGAGACTCATGTCTGAGAGAGGATCTATAAGCATAATGGAGTGACCAGTGCAGGATTGGAAATACCAAACCTCCCTTTATCCCTTTACCTTCTTTGTGACTGAGCTAAATTGGTTTCAGCTAGTAATGAACTCTTCAAGGCAGAAGGTGTTGTGTGCAGTAAAATATTTGCATATGCTCAATGCCTTTTCCTTCTGGTTACAATAGGAATAACTTCTGAAGATCTTTTCCATCTTATAGTCCAGAGATAAAGAAAGAAAATCAGTTTTACCCATGATGGAGGAAATCAAAGACGATTGCCCATATGCACACATAACAGACCCTAAGGGCACACCAGAAATCAATTGCTTTAGAAACAATTCTGGTCTTGAAAATCAGGTCTTAGTTATGGGCTTTGCCTAAGTCTCCTAGTTTCCTCATCTGTCATACAAGGAAAATGGGATGATTTAATGCCATAGACAGTCTGTAACAGGAGGAAACTCATTCTCCCCTGCAAACTCATTGAGTTTTGTGAGGTTCTGATTGGGTCACAGACATGGCTATGCTTTGAAAACAGTAAGGAATACACCAATTTATTCTTGTACTCGAAAGCTGGCAATATTCATAAGACTCATAAGGCATAGGCCTTTCTGAACACTGAATATTCTGATTGGGAGACTGATGGTGAGCAAAGTATGGAATAGTGGGGGCATTTTCCCCAAGCACCAAAGAAGAGAACACTGAGGGGAGGCTGGAGAAGGAATCAGAAATTACACTTCAATTATGTTTCTTTCTGCCTTATGAATCAGAAAGAAGTTGGATTGTGTACAATGATATCAAAGTGTGTTTCGAGGTTTTGCACAAAATGTCAAATCTCATTAGTAATTGAGGATGAAAAGACATACAAATCCCTTGGCCACAAATGTAGCTGTTTATAACCAATCTACTTTATTAGGTATGTGTATTTGAGTGGCCTGATTCATAAGTCTAGAAGCCAGAATTGTCCCTATCCCAACACAAATCCCAGATTGTGATGTTTAGGCAAGCAGAGTTTTGGCATTTTGTTTCCTAATGTAATTTCCAGTATCAAATATTTCATAATGTACTTCATAAATTTTGAGTGGTCTAATTGTTCTATCCTTCATCCTATGGGTTGACTCTGTAGATTTTTTTTCTTTAAAGATCAAAAGAGAAAGCAGAAGCAAAGATCACCATGTATTCGCCATTTATTATTTCTAGTAATGGCATGTTCAACGTTTAGCTTATGTCACCACAGTGTAGAAAATGCTTAATTGGTATCTGTGAGAATTTGTTTAAATAAACTATGAAGATTGCTTCTCCAAAAATATTTGTGAATTGCTTTCTGAGACATAAAGAGAGAGATATAAGGCAATTTTTAAAATTTCTTCTTGCCTAGATGTGTCTCATGAACAACTGCCTTTTCATTGGTATACCAATCACAGTGTTTCATCAAGGTCAATGCACTTGATCTATGCTTGTGCGGGTTTCTTTGTTATTTATTAATCAGAGAGTTATAATTACACTTTTATCTTAGCTGTTTGAAAACACAATCACAATTCTTTCATTAAATGATACGTAATACCTTAGCTCAGTAGTAACTGTATTTCAATACAATTATTTCAATTACTACTTTGGTAGTGAGTTTAGTACTCTCTCTTTTTAGTAAATATTCTTATCCCAACTTTTGGAATAAACCAAGTCTAATAGATGGAACAATTTACTTAAGAATAGTAGCATATGGATTCAGGAAGTTTTGTGTCTCTCACCAAGAAACATAGATTTTTATTGTTTTCAGACTCTATTTTTAGAGTTTTAGGAGTGTGTGTGTTTGTGTGTGTGTGTGTGTGTGTGTGTGTGTGTGTTTATACTCAAAGAGATAAATGCATGAAAGAAAGCTAAGATCCAGGTTCTAATCTATGCAAATAGGGTTTAATATTAAGAAAACTGCTTGCTTTGAAATATAAAAATTCTTCTTGTTCAAGGTTGCATTCAAAGATAGTTAAGGTCTGTTAATCATAACTGAATCCTTTAAAATTATATGACAAAATCAAGAGGTTGGCAAAAAAGCATTAGCATACTGAAAATGTGTTTAGATTATAAATGGAGTACAATGAACACAGTTTCATATGAGAAAATAACACCTTCACACTGGAATTTTTTAAGCCCGGATATTAGACATTACTTTTGACTTGTTCAACATATCATGTTATCTTTCTTAATTCACACAGCTTTGTGAAAATAGAGTTAGATTACACTTTCGAATACGAATACATATGCTTTTTAAAATAATCATAAAACATCTTACTCCACCTCCGTTTTATACTTACAACTACTAATTTGTTGGTTTGACAAGATTGTAGGAATGCTTACTCCATGGCACTGACTGGGCAATTGAAATGAGTGAGAAAAGACTTTATACTCACTTGATGATTACTTACAAAAGAGATGAAGACAACAAAGAAGAACAAACAATAATGACTAGGTACTATACAAAGAACGAAAAGTTGACAGTTAACTTAGGTCCAGGAGAGTCACAGGATTGCAAAAGACAGGGATGGGGGAAAGGAGGAGCAGGTGATAAAGCCAGGAGGGGAAGACAGACACAAGATACATTCTAGTAAAGTCAGGATTTTATTGTAGACAACTAGAAAAAGAAGCTCAAGGAAGATCAACCAGAGTCAGGCAGTGGAAGGTAATATAATTTACAGAAATCTAATGATGCACCTATAATAAAATAAACTCAACAAATATAATCCATGCTAAGGAAAAAAAATTGTATCATCTATCATAAAAATTACTACCATGAGAATGAAATGGAGAGTTGCTAATCAGAGTTGAATGCTAGAAAATTAAAGATGAAAAGAAAATATTAAATATCAATTCTAATTTTTTATTTTCTTCAGTGAAATAAAAAAAGAACTGAAAGGAGGAAAGCTGGTATCTAAGTAATTATACTGCAGTAACCCAGCTTTATATATATTATGTCATTTTTCCAATTATCATGTAAATCATAAATATAATAATTATGTTTTAGCTGCTTCTGCCATGTACAATAAAACGTACAATTCCTAAAGGCAAAGTGTTTCTGATTCTAGATTGGTTTATTTGTGCTTTTTGACATGTAAAACATAAAAATATATTTTCCTCTCATTTGGCAATGGGCAGATTTCTATTTTCACACTTAGAAGTTATGATTGATCTTTTAGTCATGCAATTTAAATTCAAAACTACCATTTATTTTATTTTTTGCTTAGCAAGTCCATATTTCCCCAAATTCATATTTACATTTCTTAGGACAGTCTAGAAGAAAAAAGAGATAAATATCAGATTTTTAAAAGTGATGCACACCTCACATCTTTCACCTTTTCTTTGGAACTGTTGAAATTACTAGAACCCATATTGAAATAATTTCTCTCTCTCTCTCTTTCTCCCCCCTTCCTCCCCCTCCTTCCTCCCTCCCTCCCTCCTCCCTCCCTCCCTCTCTCCCTCTTCTTCTCCCTCTCCCTCTCTCTCTCTCTCTCTCATTGGTCATGGGGCTTGAACTCTGAGCCTGGGCACTGTCCCTGAGCTCTTCAGCTCAAGGCAGTGCGCTACAACTTGAGCCACAGCACCACTTCTGGTTTTCTAGTGGTAAATTGGAGAAAAGTGTCTCACAGACTTTCCTGCCTGGACTGCCTTCAAACCATGATCCTCAGATCTCAGCCTCCTGAGTAGCTAGGATTACAGTGTGAACCACCAACACCTGGCATTTTCATTATTTATTATCATTATCATCCTAAAAAATTTAATATATTCTATTTTGGGGTCAAAAGTTACCTTTCTAGCCAACAAATGCTTATTAAGTATCTTTATTGCAGAAGTTGTTTTATGCTTACATCTTAGTTTGATGAAAGCAGACAGGTAAAATACAAATAACCAATAAATGAATTACTTAGGTATTGGGGAGCACAGAGACTTCACACCTGAGTATATATGCATAATCTAATGCAATTTTCAGTGACATCTCATTGGTGTCTTTTCATTGGCCTTGACAAGAATATTTACACATTGAGGTTTAGCAAAGGGTATACATGAAAGTTTTCTTTC